ATACTTAAAAAAGGAAATCAATTCTTTTGAGAAAAGCAAAATAAACAAAAAGGATAAAATTTCCTTGAGATATTATAAGATTTTCGTAAATAGAAAATTATTTTACTACCAGCAAAATAAACGAAAAGGGAAAAAATTTCAATTATTTTCGAAACACTTATCATGCATTACGAAAAGTGTTTTCGAAGAAAGAAGAAAAAGCAAAAGAAAGGAGATAATTTTTCTTTTCCTTTGATAATATGTATACATATATTAATTCTGAGAAAAGAGAGGTGAATTTCGTAATTTGCCGCCTGAATGAAAGTCGAATACTTCATTTCTTGAAAATTATTTAATAATTTAATTGGCACCATTCAGGTTTCCTTTTTTTGCCAATAATAAATTAATCCCTCCCGGTGAATCAAAAAGTTGATAAGTGAATAAAATATCTTGCTAATCTAGCTCCGTGGAAAAAAAATGATGTCAAGCTTGTATGTGAGTCACGTATTTATTTTCGGTGCACTTTTATACCCGCAGTATTAAAAGATTAAGACATTGCATTCTTCTTTTTCTTCATCTTCTCTTTTTCCTTACAAATTGTATCACAAAAATGTACAAAATCACATTTTTAATTTAATTTTTTCCCAGATTTATACAAAAATAAACTTGGTCAATTTTAATAATGTTAAATCACAATCTAATTATTCGAATTATGCGTACCATGCGAATCGTAAATAATTTTTTATAATTAAAAGAATTAAAACATCCAGAAAATATTTATCATATATAGAAAAAGAGATATTTTTTGCCCATAGAGACAAATTTTCACGAATAGGTACACTACCGTCCGTAAGTATCAGGACGCCCCTTTTTTCATGAGTGAAAAAATGCTTAAAACTTAGAAAATAAAAATGACAAAAATTTTTCGTATTTTTTTCCTGAAAGCTAATGAAATTATGAAAAGACTGACACCTGATCGAAGAATTTTCGTTGACTATTTTGTCAGATACAGAAAAAATACTGGATTTTGCATGCTTTTCGTAATTTTTTAATTTCTCAAAAACTAATTAACTTTTATTAGCGTTCTTGGTCTTGTTTTAATCTCTATTCAATGTAGAATCTAAATTATTAACTGGTATTGTGAAATAAATTTTTCCAAAAAAATTTGAAACCGTAAAAGTAGGATTAAAAAAATTCAAAAAATTACCATGAATATTAAAGTGTCAAAAAGGTCAATGTAAAATATGTTCATTTAATAGATATACTAAAATTCAAAAAAGCTTTTTAATTACTTAATTATTTAATTTAAAAAAAAAATTTTTTTGTTGAAAAAGTGTCAATCTGTTTTTCAAAATTTTTTTATCCGACTTTTACGGTTTCAAATCAAATTTTTTTGGAAAAATTTATTTCACAATACCAGTTAATAATTTAGATTCTACATTGAATAGAGATTAAAACAAGACCAAGAACGCTAATAAAAGTTAATTAGTTTTCGAGAAATTAAAAAATTACAAAAAGCATGCAAAATCCAGTATTTTTTCTGTATCTGACAGAATAGTCAACGAAAATTCTTCGATCAGATGTCAGTCTTTTCATAATTTCATTAGCTTTCAGGAAAAAAATACGGAAAATTTTTGTCATTCTTATTTTCTAAGTTTTAAGCATTTTTCCACTCATGAAAAAAGGGGCGTCCTGATACTCACGGACGGTAGTGTACATAGAAATAAAAGAAATAAATTAGGAAATAAACTTTCTACGTTCAAAATTTATCAAAACATCCAGAAATCCTTATCAAGAAGTGCAATACATGAAAAAACTGAAAATTTTTTCCCCATACATAAATTTTTACGAATAGAAATAAAGAAATTAGGAAATAAACTTTCTACAAGGATACCACAAAAATTTTATTTTATTTTTCTTAAAACTTTTCTTTCATTTCAAGACAGGAATTGAATGTGAAATAATTTAATTCTTGCATGGAATTTTATGACAATTATTGAAAATAATTGAATTATTTTATTAAAAATAATTGAATTATTTTATTAAAAATAATAATTTAATTCTTTCCAGGAATTTAATTAACATTAAACTAAAAATAATTGAATTTTTCTAAAAAATTTTATCAAAATTTTCGAACTAGGAAATTGATTTTTGATTCTTTCAAAATAGGACTTTATTAAAATTTTCTATAAATAATTGAATTTTTTAAAATAATTTAACTGAAATTTTCGAAATACATAATTGAAGTCTGTCGAACAAAATTTTATTAAAATTTTTAAAAATAATTGAATACCTTCATGAGAAATTTTGTTACAATTGTATTGAAAATAATTAAATTCCAACGAATAATTTTATTATTTATGAAACTATTAAAAAAGTAATTGAATTATTTCCAGGATTCAATTCTTTCTAATAAAATAAGAATTTTATTAAATTTTTTAAAAATAATTGAATTCTTTTTAGAAATTATATTAAAATAATTAAAATTTCTGCAAAAAATGTAATTATTTCTGAAAATAATTGAATTGTTTTAAAGAATTTCATTAAAATTTTTTAAAAATTGAATTTTTACAGGAATTTAATAAAAATTTGTAATGTAAATAATAATTGAATGTTCATAATGAATTTTATCAAAATTTTCAAAATAATTGAATACTTTCGAATAAGAATTTTACTTATCAAAATATCTTTTTAAAAAATTGAATATCTTTAATTGTAAAATTATTCGAAACATCAATAGTTTTAATAGATAATTTTTAATCATGAAGTATTATTATTTTTTTCCCACAAAAATTAAGATTTTCGAAAATTTCAAATTTAAAACCTGATAAAATTTAATTATTTATAAGAATTTCTAAAATCACTTCTTAAAAATTATTTTCATGAATTCAATTCAATTTTTTTTAGGATTCAATTATTGAAAAAAAAATGTTTTCCTTAAAATATTTCTGAAATCCATTTGTTTACAATTCAATTACATGGAATTTAAAAAAAAAATTGAATATAAATTTTTCAAAAAATTAACTTTTTATAATTTTTAATTAAAATTTTTTAAAATTAAAATTTTCTAAAACCTCAAGTTGAAACTTTTTAAAATTCAATTATTTGTATGAATTTGAAAGTGCAACTCGTAAAATTTAATTACTTTTTGAATGTTTAAGTAAAATTATATGCTGAATAATTTATAAATAATAATTTTATGACAGCTCTTCAAGAATTAAATTATTTTAAATAAATTGAATTTAAATTCTGTACAGTTCAATTATGTTAGAAATAGAAAAAATTGAAAGTTTTGTATTGAAATTTAATTTTCCTAAAGTTTTTCAAGTTCATTAGAACGACGATATTTTTATTGCTACTTTAAATTTGGATTCTATTATTTACTAAATTAATATTCTTATAACTAAACAAATAATTTTTAACTAAATAAATGTTAAATAAATAATTTTTTTCATTTTATTCCAGTGACTTTTAAAAATATTATATGAGTAAAAAAATATGTCGTTCATTTAAATGTTCAAAATATTAAGAAAGTGAAATTCGTCGTGATTTTAATGTTTATAAGGCAAACAAATTAAAAAAGAATTCAATATTTTCAAAGACTGCTGAATAGCAAAATCCTGAACTTTCTTATGAATCCTAGACATTTAATATTTTTCCGTTAATTTTCAAATAAATAAATAAATAAAAACTCTTTTCCCATATAGACAAATTTTCACAAATAGAAATAACAAAAACTAGGAAATAAACTTTCTAGGTTCGAAATAAGTCGTTAATAAGCAATAAAAAAAATGTTGTACACGACAAATTATCTCTAATTACGATATTTGTATATTTAGTTGAAGAAGAGCTGCGCGAGTTAATTTAAGACTTCGTGTGTATGCATATAAATTTGCTTCAGCGTTAAAAAAAAAAATGAAAAATAAATTATCATTACACGTCCATTGACGCGTGAAAGTAAGAGTCAGTGGTCGCGACGTGAACATGATCGATTTTTTATCTTCACCTGTAGGTTGCGCCTAACGTGTAACTCGAGTGGTTTTGATGCAAATTTAACAAAATGTCAGGCCACAACCCGATGACCTGACGGAAGCACACAACGCTGTTCAGGCACAATGAACACTGTCGCATTTCGTTATCATTCAACAAGAAACTAATTATTGTTACCTTAATTAACAAAACTCTAGTCTTAAGAACCTCGTTAAGGAGAAATTCCATAAATATTAAACTTTACTTTTCCCATAAAAATAAGGATCTTTAATTCTTTGAAAATTACTCAATTTACTCATTTTCTCTAATCAGAAAAAGTTTTTTTTCCCTTATTGTCCTTTTTCACATATGTTCACTTTCTCCCTCTCTTCCTTTTTTTATCTTCATCTCATTCTTTTTCTTTATTTTCTTTCGTAGCTTCTGTTGTAAATATTCCTCTTAATTTTTTTAGTTGATTTCAGACCGTAATTTAGTTTAATCAACTTGACTTTATATATGGAAAGGATTTATTCTTTTTTTAGGTCTTTTTCTTCTGCTGGTAACTTTATTTCAATAAAACCAGATATATAATAAATTTCAAGTTTCAATGAAATAAATTATAAAGGCCGCTTGCTCCACTTTTCCGAAAAACTTTTTCTCGACAAGCAATTTTAATTATCTGATCGGTATTGTTTGATGTTTGATCTCACGTAGCATTCCAATTATTAGAAATGAATTGCGAGAATCGTGAGCCGAAACAAATTCTCTTTTATTTGGAATTATAAATTAATTGCAAAATAACCACTAATTAAGTGATATTTAAAATCTTCTATTCTCGATATCCAATAATTTGTCGAAAGTAGTCAGTAATTTAGAAAATTTTCATTTCGTTGAAGTTTTCCATTGTAGATAAATTTTCACTTAACGAAAATATTGAAACAAGTAAATTTTCAATTTTCAAATGGTAGAATTTGGTGAATTTTTGTTAAAATTCCTTTAGGATTGTTTCTGAAAAAAAAAGAATTTTTTTTTTGGGAATTTTTGATCTTTACCTTAACACCGAAGGCTGCTTCGTAACCACCCTTCCCCTGCATCTGCGTCTGAATGGCATTTAGGTGGGCACTTGCCATGTCAAGATCACCGCTGCCAATATGTCCAGTGTGTTGGAAATTCGTCGGTGCTCCTATCATACTTCGGTCTATCCTCAATCTTTGCGGTGGCCTTTGTCTTTTATTTCTAGCCGCGGGTCCTTGCTGAGTTAAACAACACGTGAACCATTGCACCCAAACATCGCCAGTTCCTGCCATTTTATTTTCCCTTAACTCCTTCGTCTTGAATCTAAAATCGAAAATTCAGAATCAATTTTCATTCTCGCTTGAGAAACAAATTTCTTTCATTAGTCATTTTCAAAAGCAAATAAAACAGAAATTTCCACTTGCTCGAAATTGAATAAAATAAAATTAAATGAATGAATGAAAATATAATTAAATTTAATAAAAGTCCGAATGTCATCTAATCACAAGAAAATTCGGTCAAATTCAATCAAAATTACCAGGATTGACACAAAAATTAAAAAATTACCAGGATTGAAATTTAATTTTGTTTTCCCTAACTTTTCCCTGATTTTCAGATAGAATTCGAAAACAATCAATAACTTCTTTTCTGAATAAATATTTAATCATTATTATTTTCCACAGGAATTAAGATTTTCAAAAATTTCAAATTCAAACTTTTTTTTTAAATTAAACAACTTATAAATAATTGTTATAAAACATGAAGAAATCGATCACTCCGAGTCTTCGACTCGGAGCAATCGATATCTTCATGTTTTATAATAATATTAATTAAATTAATAATTATTTATTTTTGTATTTAAATAATTGAATAATAAAATAAATAATATAATAAAAATAATAATAAAATAAAAATAATAAAAATATTATTACTGTAACTTCTTCAAAATTAATTTCATCATTTCAATTGAATTATTATTTTATAAAATTTTTACATAAAATTATTCTTTAAATCAGTTATTTTTAATTATTTTTTAAAAAGTTCTTTGAGAATTTTCAAAACCATTTGTTTACAATTCAATTTTACGAAACTTCTATTATTTGAAAATTTTTCATTTAAACTATATATTAGAAAATAAAAAATTGAAATAATTTTTTAACAAAAATTCAATTAAACTTTTTCAAAAAAATTAATTCTACAGAATTGTTAGTAAAAAGTATGAAAAATTCATATTTTCAAAGATTTTAATTTAAAACCTTTTCAAAATTCAATTATTTCTAAAAATTCATATTATAATGCTTTTAATATTCAATTATAATCTACAATTTTAACTGAAATTCATTTTTAAATCAATTTTTATTAGAAAATTCTACGAGAATCCAATTATTTACAAACAAAAATAAATAATATATTGGATAATTGAATGTTGCTTAAAATTGAATTTTCATCAAGAATTTCATCAAATAATTTTTAAATAATTAAATTCTTTTGACGAATTTAATTTAATTTAATAACATTTTTTTTTTAAAATTACATTTTTCAAGGAATTTATTTAAAGTGACATTGAAAATAATTGAAATTCTGTGATGAGTTTTATTATTTATGAAAATAATTCAATCCCTGTAAAAAATTGAATTCCTTATGAAAATAATTGAATTATTGCGAAGAAATTTTTAAGAAATTTGCAAATTATTGAATTTCTGTGAAATTTTTCATATTTATGAAAATAATTAAATGTTTGAATAGAATTTAATTAAAACTTTTGTTAAATAATTGAATTCTTTTGAAAAATTGTATTAAAATAGTAGAATTTAAAAATCATTGAATTGAGGAAAATTTTTGAAAATAATTGAAATTTTTGAAAAGAGTTTTATTATTTATAAAGATAATTAAAATGTGGACGAGAATTTTAAAAAAAATTTTAATATAATTGAATTTTTGAGAAAAATTTTATTACTTTTGAAAATAATTGAATTTCTACAATCATTAATTTCCAAAATTCAATTTTGTAAGGATGCGGTCATGAGTAGTGTGTGTTGTCTGTTTGTTTGTGTGCAGAATGATTGTTTGTGTGTTTGTCTGATTGATATGTGTGTGATTGTGACCAAAATTGTAAAAGGAGAGATAAGAGTAGTCTGTACTTCGGTGTGCGTGCGAACGGTTGTACTTAGAAATTACCTGACATTAAATTATATATATTCATTTTAATTATTTGTTTTTTAATGTGCCATCCTCTCACAGTTCAGAAGTGGGATTAGGAACTCTTTGCTCTCGTTTTGTTAATATATTCGATAATTTTTCACAACTTATGCAACTTGAAACACATTAGAACTTTAGTGGTTTTAACCGTCTCTCAAAAGGACGCTAAGCTTATAAGTCCGATTAGAGAAGAATTTGACTAATTGTGTTTGAGTAATTCAGTGTAGATAAGAGTGATCTGCAATTTGACAAATTTTTGTAACTGTATGAAGAAAAGAAGAGTTGGAATTTAAGTTTTTTTACATGTGGAAGCTTTGTGCACATGGCGAGAAATTAAACTGCCATTTTCAAATTGAACTCTTTATTCAGTGATTTATGTTAACACCGTGCTATGTGGTCATCGTGCTTTGTGCCTTGATTGGTGATCATTATTTATGTACTGTGATGTTGTGTTAAATTTTTACGAATTAATATATGAGCATTATTTTAAAAGAGAAAAACGTTTAGTTCCGTTCGCAGTTTTACGCACACCGAGATATTTTGAATAAGTACAGTACGCTTTTATTGTGTTCATATTAGTAAACAGTGAATGTCCTTCAACTATTCTTTCGAGTTTACGTTGTGTCGAAAGATAATAATTATCGCCAGAGTTATAAATTCATTATGGCAGCCGATTTAACTGTTGCTGAATTGAAAAGCATTTTACGATTCAAGAAAATTGCCGCTACTGGAAATAAGAGCGAGTTGATATTACGTCTGCAACGGGCTAGTCCAGATGGGTCTTGGATCGAGGAATGGCGGAAGGAAGGAAGACGTGATGATGATGATGATGATGAGGAGGAGGATGATGATCAAGGGAAACATCGGTTGCAAAAAGCTTACGATGACATGAAACGTCAGATGGACGTGATGCAGCAGATGATGATGGCGTTAACATCACAATTGCAGCAAGAGAAAACCCAAGGTTCGTCAGATTCTGTTCTCGGAACCGACTCGAGGGTGGAGTCAAACGTCAATACAATGTTGTTAAATTTGGAAACTCCGACTACCTCTGCGAAGGAAAGCGGGATGCCGATTTTGTTTCCAGTGTCGTCTCCTTATGCTGTCCCAGCCCAGGGCGGAGCAACACAATCAGCACAAGTACCTGTTTATCATACACCAACACTTCCTAATACTGAGGTAAACTCAAGGTTATCAATTCATTCTATCGGTGAGTTATTGGGGACTTTTGATGGAAATAGCCAAAACTTTGAAACATGGTCGCAACAATTACAATTGGTACGAACGACATATAATTTGAGCGATGACACTGTAAGAATTTTGATTAGTAGTAAACTTAAAGATAAAGCTCTTAATTGGTTTCATTCACGTTCGAATCATTTGTTGATGCCAGTAACAATGCTCATTGAGGAAATGAGAAAAATGTTTTTCCCCTACCTTAGTCGAATTGAATTGAGAAAGCAATTCGAAAATCGTATTTGGTGTAAATCAGAATCATTTAGTGAATATATGTATGACAAAATTATTTTAGCAAATAGAGCAAATATTGACGAGATAGATTTAATTGATTATTTGATAGAAGGAATTCCCGACGAGTCATTACGAGATCAAGCTCGCATGCAACGTTTCAATTCTAAAGAAAATTTACTTCAAGCGTTTGAAAAAATTTATTTAAATAAAAAATCAACTGAAATAAATAAAAGTAAAGATTATCAAAAAGATTCGAATAATTACAAAGCAAGTAAATTTGATCAAAATAATAAAGAAAATAAAAATGATTCAAGTAATAATAAGTCTTTTGATAAAAGTAAAAAACGGTGTTATAATTGTAACATGTTAGGTCATATGTCTCATGAGTGTAAAAAAAAGCCGAGACAGAAAGGTTCGTGTTATCGTTGTGGCTCGATGGAACATACGATTGCAAAGTGTCCGGAAAGTAGTAGTAGAAAAACGAGTAAAATAGAGATCACAAATGTTGACGTTAGAAAATTAGATAATTCGGAATTTTATCCAGATATTTTATTGAAATTCGAAAATGAAGAGGGCAGTTTTGAGGCTCATCTTGTCGCTTTGTTGGATAGTGGAAGTCCAATTTCATTTATAAAAAATAAATTTGTAAACCCGGATATTGTAGTACCGTTGGGTGAATCGAAGCTTGAGTATCATGGCGTTAATAATTCGAAATTACATATTTTAGGGAAAACAAAAGCCGAATGTGAAATGAAAAATGTTGTTAAGCAAATTGAATTGTTGGTAGTAAATGACGAAACAATGTCGTCACCAGTAATCCTAGGGCGTGACGCATTCAGGGCTTTTGGATTAAGTATTTCGAGTTCGCAGTGTTTTGAAGAGGAAAAAGATAACCACTTAATGGAAATAATGAATATTGAAATCGATGAATTAAAAATAGAAGATAGTTTAAATATTAACCCGGATATTCCACATAAATTTAAACAACAGTTAAAAAATGATTTTTTTTGAAATTTATTTACAATCCGAAAGACCTGAAATGCCAGAAATAGAAACAACCCTTCATTTGAAATTAAAAAGTCATAAAATTTTTCACTGTTCGCCACGAAGATTATCTTATACGGAAAAAATTGAATTAAAAAAAATAATCGATGATTTATTGAAGCGAAAAATTCTTAGACCAAGTAACGCCGAATATTCGTCAGCCATTGTTCTTGTTATAAAAAAAAAACGGTAAAATTCGAATGTGCATTGATTATAGGATTTTAAATAAATATTTAGAAGCAGATAATTATCCTTTGCCATTAATTGAGGACCAAATTGACGTATTGAAAGGGAAAAAGTATTTCACCCTATTAGATTTGAAAGATGGATTTTTCCATATCAAAATGGCTGAAGATTCAGTTAAGTATACTTCTTTCGTTACGCCGTTTGGGCAGTACGAATTTTTGAAAATGCCGTTTGGATTGAAGGTGGGTCCGAAATATTTTCAAAGATTCGTCAACATGGTCCTCAAAGAGCTAATTGATGCTGGCGATGTAAGTGTATATTTGGATGACATTATGATTGCAACAAAGACTCTTGAACACCATTTGATTATTTTACGAAAAATTTTTAAACTTTTAGTTAAAAATGGCCTCGAGTTGCAATTAGCA